CTGATCCACATAACCAGCTTCTCCCAGCACAAGTATGGGACACTGAGCATTTCTTGAAGGTAGGACACACAACATTGTCCTGTACCTCTGCCCCTATGTTCATGCTATGAATCCAAAAGAGTTCTCTATGACAATGGTGTGATTTCTTTTTTTATACACACACTAGTGCAGTGTTGTCCAAACTTGGCCACTTTAAGATGAGTGGACTTCAACCCCCAGAATTCCCCACCCAGCATGGGGAATGGCATGGCTGGCATGGCTGGCTGGGGAATTCTGGGAGTTGAAGTCCACTCATCTTAAAGTGGCCAAGTTTGGACAACACTGCACTAGTGTGTGTATAAAAAAAGAAATCACACCATTGTCATAGAGAACTCTTTTGGATTCATAGCATGAACATAGGGGCAGAGGTACAGGACAATGTTGTGTGTCCTACCTTCAAGAAATGCTCAGTGTCCCATACTTGTGCTGGGAGAAGCTGGTTATGTGGATCAGCCCACAATCAAGGTTGGGCCATGGGCTACTAAATGATATTGCAATCTCTTCAATGTGGGGCTACCCTTGAAGCATATGCAGAAGCTTCAACTGGTGCAAAATGCAGCAGCTAGGCAGTGAAGCAGTGCTCAGTATCAAGATCATATACATTTCGTTTTGGGACTGATTTGCATAATGCATTATTCCTAAAAGGAAGCACCCCCACCATTTGAATTACACCCCCAATTTCATGTGGCTGTTTAACTATGTTTTCTGGTTACTGGGGCTTCTGTACCTACAAAGGTTTCCATCTTGGGCACCCAGAAACTGGGGCTTATATCCAAACTGCAATCATTTCAGGTTCAGACAACAGGGTCAGGCACAATGTTCATTAAAGAGCCACACATAGATGGACAAATTGACACTGCTTGCACAACTGAAACTGAAAAGTTAACTTGTCTCTTTAGCCATTGAATAGTAGCAGACACAACTTTTGAAGAAGCGTTAGATGAAATATGCTATCCAAACAGTGATTAATGCTGGGTTCTTTTGTTGCACTAAGTCATTATTTGCTTAGCTGTGGTTTTTTGAAGAGCCCATAATTGGCTGGATTCACACAACATGCTGAGCCCAAACTAGACAAACACACATTATAGCTTAGCATGATGTGTGACAGTTTACCTGAACTCCCCTTCATTGTGGCATCCAGAACTGAAGAAGACAGTATGTGAGGTGGGATCTGACCAATGCAAAACAGAGTGGAACCAAAATTAAATTTAAATAAAATTTTGTTTTTGGCCTGGAGTGCAAGCTTAACATGTACCTTGCATAAAAAAAGCATCTGAATTCCTTTAGCTCACTCATATAAGGAAGCCAGTTTGCACATCAGGGCAGCAGATGTTCCTAATGAGTGCTGGGATGTGTGTGCAATAAAGAGGTCATCATTATTTCAAAGTGATATCAAATGCTATATGAGCCAGCTTCTCTTTGATTTGAAAGAAAGCTGCCACCGACTCATCAACATTTTCCAAAAATCCCCCTAAGTCATTTTTTAAAGATGTTGGGGTGGGGGAAAAATAAAGTAAAGCAGATTAAAAAGAAGCCCTCTGAGTCTTCCCTTCCGGTCAACAGTTTCCTTTCAACTCCACTTAATCCGGGTAAGCATGCCTGTAAATAGTAATCAGGCTTCCATAAAGCATGTTCATCTTCAAGGCGCTTTACAAACAACATATTAAATAATTATTAAGCACGGCTATTAGAGAAGATTAGAAGTGCCTCATCTCTTCCTTCCAGTAATTTTGCCCCAACCCATTAGAACTGAAAAGCAGAAAATTAAAGACCTTTTCAGAGATGGAAGGCTTTCATTCTTTGCACTTCACTTTGCAGGAAAATACTGTAGAGGGAACTGCTCCTGGTCATGGTGCCAGCCAACTTGCCAGCTGTGCCCTCTTCCAGGACATTCCGTTCTTGTTCCCGCTGCTCATTTTTCATCCTTAGCAACCATGACTTGGAGAATGGAAAGAAAAGAAGTGGTATCTAATTTATTTCCAGAGTTATACCCAGATTTCCTTCAGAGCTAAGCTGTCATATCTCTAAGCAGAACTTCAGAGAAAAACAAACTCTGATTTTCTGATAGGCACTAGGATTTTTTAAAATATAACCTTCCCAGGTCCAAGTGGACAATATGGATTTTGTGTGCAACTCCATACATCGGGGTGGCCAACATCTGACCTCGGAAATGTGTGTGCTGTCCAAGTTTCCTTTTCCTGGCCCTGGAGAGTCCTCTGAGTCTGCTATTAGGTTTTCGGTTCACAAGTGCTGAAAATTGGCAACATGGTGATAGGAAATACACAAGAACGCCACATGCCCTAAAATGGGCTTAAAGCAATTAAAAATGCAAAGAAACAACCCTGCTTGGAACCAAGCTCAGCTCTTAAAATCTATGTAGTTTGCTTGGCAACAATATGAAAATGGCTTCTTACATTATGTTCTTTGGGGACTTTTTTTTCAAGTTCCAGTCTAGCTTCCTGCTGTGGATTTCCTGGTGATTACCTGTTTATGTACAAATTACCGAGCAGATCTGATCTTGCTCTTCTTTTTTAGATCAA